AGGATCCTGGAATCGAGCCCTGCATTGGGCTCTCTGCTCAGTGGGGAGCCTGCTTCCCCCTCTCTCTCTGCCTGCCTCTCTGCCTACTTGTGCTCTCTCTCCCTATCAAATAAATAAATAAAATCTTTAAAAAAAATAAAGAAATCTCCACTCAACTATGAATTAGTAAATACGTAACAATGCATGCTATGACATAAACATTGTGTGAAGCTTTGGAAACACACTCATCATTTAAAGTCCAAGTTAAATACTACGTAAAAAAAAATCTGACCCAGATGTGTATCCATTACCCATGGCTGTGTTACCAAGCACCTCTAAATTAATGATTTTTTTTTTTTTGGTCTTGGACTCAGCCAAGCAGTTCTTCTTGTAATTGGGGTGAGCTTTGTCTTGGCTAGGAATATCTCTGCTTCTGGTTGTTGTTGGATGTTGGCAGGAGCTGTGGGTGACTGGGCCAGGTATCTTTCATTTTTCTTCAGACAAACCTGGGCTTGTTTTCCCTGCAGAACCAGGGGTTCAAGAGAAAGACTCCAGAGTTGTCTTAGAACATCATCTTTTTCACCAAATTCTACTGACCAAAGCAAATCCCACGGTCAGTCCAGATTCAAGACTTGAGGAAACAGGTCCCATCTCTTCATGGGGAGATCTAGAAATTCGCATTGCAAAGAACATAGATACAAGGGAGGCCAGTGATTCAGGCCATCTGTGCAATCAACCCACTACAAGATGCAACCATCAAATAGATGAGAAATGTTACTATTACCCTGATATAGAGTCAGACACTCTGCAAGACAGTGTAAGAGATTAATCATATTCACTGTACAAAGCTTCTCACAACTAATGGAAAGGTAAGCCACACTGGAGCTCTGCCTGACATTTTTTTTACTTAGCATTCCTAACAGATGTCCAAGAAGCTGACAAATACATAAAAATTTTAAAACAGCAAACGATATCAATTATAAAATTAGAGTGTCCAGAGTAATTTAACCGGAGGTGCCAGAGTAAATAGCCAGCGATGTGAATGTTCTAGAAGTATGCCAATTAATTACACAGTGTGAGAACCAGGGACTTCTGTTTACAGACAAGGAGTTAAACTCTCAAAGCAGCGCCAGAGAAGACTTTTGAATTAATGGCTAATTTCAAACAAAGCATTTAATGTCACCACTTGAAATGTTTCAGTAATAATTCAAATGGTTTAATTCTAAGCCACTTATGATTAAATTTCAAATATGCTAAGGTATTATTAGACATTTATAGGAAAAATCATTTTTTTCCCTGCAAATTAAATGTTCTTCTGTGACAACGGTTCAAGTTATGATGGGGGGGTTCCTGTTTCCTTTTAATTATAGCCCAAACACTTACACGGATAAAGCGGCAATGCGATAGCTATTTCATTTTGGAGCCATTATTACCGAAATGCAAACTATCTCAATATCTACCCCCTTCCCCTCCCCCTAGGTTTTCTTTTTAATCCCATAAAAGCATCTGTCTTTGATTTCAAGTGGAGTACCTGCTGTGCTAGATGCAAGGCAAATCCAATTTGTGTGTAACAAAACCAAATGGGCTGAAATGAACTCTGCATTTTAAAGATGTTTTTGTTTAATCATTGCCATCACTCGTCCTTAATGAATGCATAATCAAGTTAAACTTCAGGCAAGAAACGGAATGGCTCTTCTTAAGACGGAGAAAGCGAATTCCTGTGATATCCCTCACCGCCGATCTGCCTCCTATTCCTGTGTTGGCAGGAAAAAAAAAATAAGAAAGATCTTCAAATGCATCTTATGGCCAACTGTTGAGAACCACGGCGTGAGCGGCAACACTGCTCATTTTTTCTGCTTTCTTCAGAAATCATTATAATGATTGTTTGGAGCAAAAAGTGAGATGTAAGGGTCCTGGGTTCTCATTTCATCCTCCCCTTTTCTACATGGCACAGAAATAGGAGGTGCGATAAAGTACTCTGGGAGTTTGCAGGAGGATCTGGGGGCATTTCTGTGCCGCACATCACTCAGCCCCAGTGTTGGTATGTAATTAACCAAGGTCAGAGTTTCTATGTGGTAGTGAGACTTCGGTGGTTTCTTTCTTTTGGAAGGAGGGAATCTACTACAAAGACCTCAAGGTGTCTGATGATTTTTGTAACGTCATGACACTGGACAAATGGATCCGTGACACACAAGGAAATGGTAGGAGAGGATGTTTCATTCATTTCACAGATGGGAAAGCCGAGCTCAAAGTGTGCACTGACAAGTGTGGAGTCACAGGGTTAAAAATGGGAGAGTCTGAGCAGAAACACTACTCTCTTGGTCCTCAATCTAGGCAATCCTAAAATACAAAACCGTGTTACTATGAAGCAGAGATGACAGACTTCAAAAGGGGAGTATCTGGAAGACCCGTTAGGTCTGCGTACATGAGCTTTGTATTTAAGGTGAATGTAGGTGACGTATGGTTAAATACAGTGTGTACCTGTATTTTTTTTTGGTGTGAAGCAAAAATCTAGAGCTTTATGAGGGTGCCTTCTGGCATTTCTTCTGGTTACTTTTAATGGATAAGAATTAGAATTGGTTTTATTTATAGCTGAGAGTCTGCATGGCAGGATAACTAAAACACTGAGATGGAGAGTTTGAATACCTGCCATTATGTTTGACATTCCAACACTGCAAGTTATTTTTATGGAATAAAACATTGTCTTCTATTAGGGAAAAAAATCTTTTGGAACACTAACACTGTGAGCCGTCTTTTACCCTTAAATTTTCAAAGATTCATTAATTTCCTTTCTGATTAGGAACATCTCACTGGGAGCAGAGTCCTGTGATTGTACACCACGGTTGTGTTGATGATCGATGAGAAGGTTAAGGAAGGCTGGAGAACTGCTTACAGGCCAAGCCTGTTAAAACCTATAGAGACTATTGTGGAAAGCCAGGGGATGGACCAACACTGAGGAAACCCCAAAGCTACATGCACCTATTTGCAGCTTTTTTGAGGGTGACTGCCCCTGAGTTAAGCCATTCGGAGGGCAGATACAATGATGTATGTTCCAAAGATTATGTCTTAGGAGTTCCCTTGTCCTTGTCCTTGTCCTTGATCTCTTTACCTTGTCCTCCAACTTTACCTGTTCTATTCAGATAAGGATAAGAATGTTGAGTTTTGAATGGTTTTAAAATTTTGCATGTGACAGCAGGAAAAATTACAAGCATAATAACTAAACTACATTCCAGGAGAACAATATAACATATTTTTTATTGGCCAAACTCTTTCATCTCATGGCAGAGTAACACCAAACACCTTTCAATAATATTATTCTGGAGAACTTAAAAGACACATGCATTCTTTCCTCACTGAAAAAATTTCAATTCCCAAATTGCACTAGCTGGTCAATGAGACCTCTTGTCCCCTCCAACTTTTTTGTTCCTTTTCCTACTGCCAAAAGGAAGACTTCATCAATATAGGTATAACGTGCACACCCTGAGGCCAAAAGGTCATCCATGTAAATGGATTGAGTCCAACAGCTTATGATGTTCAGAATCTTTTCTTTTTTTTTTTGGCAGTTAATGTCATCATGTACTTTGGTTTAATGTGGTAGGTCATTTTGAGCAGTGGACTATGATCCCTGTATCCAAAACTGAATTTATTTGATGGAGATAAACTTGCCCATTGAACTCTAAACACAAGTAGCTGGGTACCAAAGGATCCCACTTACAATAGTTTAAAAACTGTTACAACCAAAAATCTTTTAGCATTCTCCGCAGCACAAGGGTTTATGTCAAATCGTAACGTATCATTGTGGTGATAATTCAGTTGTTATCAACCTAGGTGGCCACTGGATGTCCCCACTCTTCCTCAAATGCGGCCAAGGCATCACTTAACTGGCAGTTATAAAAACAATGCATTTTGCGGGGAACCTTTAGAAAGATCGCGCAAGAGTTCTGGTGTGCTTAGCAGCAGCATTATGTGCCCCTGGCAACAGCAAGGTGGCCTAGAAATGGTGACTTAGAGACTGAGTTGAGTGGAAGGAATTCTCTGGGTTCTGTCACTCTGTGTCATGCATATTTACTTCCATATCCTCTCCAATGACTAGCTTTTCTAAAAATCTTTAAAAAAGAAGTATGTCTGTGGATACTTCTATTATAATTCACGCAGGTGAAACAGCTATGACCAGGGAAGGGCGAGAACATGGGAGTGTTGCAGAATACCTTGCAAAATACATGAAAAACTGACTCCTCGGGCCACAGGATAGAAAGCATTAAGAGATTTTTTTAGCACAGTGGAAACTCTGAATTTTGATCACTCATTTATCCTGAGCAGTTGTACCTACCCAGGTAATGGCTATCGGACAACGGACTGAACTTTAAATTTGGAGCTAGGAGACCAGGCTTTGAATCTGGCTCTGTGCCATTGGACAAATTTGCTTTGTTTCTCCGAACCTCAGGCCCTTGTTTGTAAAATGGAGACAGGAGTCCTGTCTTCAGAGTTGTTAAGAAGCTTAAATGATATTTTATATATATGAAGGAGCCCAGGACATAGTGGTTACAGAATAAATGTCAAATATATTAGAAATCTGAGATGCAATGAAAAGTTACAAAAGGACTTTACATCTTCAGGACATCTAGGTCTAGCGAAAATGGAAAAGAGAAGGATTTAGTTTTACTTCCAATGTACTTTATGATCTACTTGGGATTAATGAAAATTTGTTTAACCACATTAACTCTCCCTTTAAAGTGTCAGGGAGGGAGACTAATGCAAGCTACTTAATGCTTCACCTAAAAAAAAAGGCTTTGGAAAGTAGAACCCTCTTAAAAAAAAAAAAAAAGTACCGTAAATACTTCATTACTTCTTAGGATTTTATAGAGAGGGAGGGCCGTGCAAGTGAAATGAGGTGTTTTGTTTCTTTTTGTTTTGTTTTTACTGAGGAGAAGCTGAAGCGCAGAAAGCTGTGCAAAGTCAAGGAAGGAGTTTGCACCGTTAATCACGTGTCTGTGTCAAAGTCGAACTGTCGAACTGAGGGGATGAAATGCGGTAGAATTTGCGACATTTGTCTTGGAACCGTGCTCTGAAACATTCAGAGAATTATGGAAAGCTGGGAATTTCCCCTCTCCGAACAGTGTTGGTAAGGCTCCCAAATAAAGTCCCGTTTCTCTAATTCCATTCTACCACCAGACTATTTTATTTTCGTTTAGGGAAAACAATAAAACTTGCTTGTAACTAAGGAGCAGTCCTGGCACACAGTTCCTGCTGGGAAAACAGTATTGGAGCTCCTCTACTGGGAGACACTTCCTTGTGCTCCCTTCCAAGCACTGACTACCAGGCTACTAATTAGTATTTCTCAAAGGAAGAAGCTGACTCCTTTTTTTGGTTATGTATTCTCTACAATAATACCAATGTTTCTATGTAGTTTGGCCAAAAAAAAAAAAAAAAAATCAGATAGTATTTCTGTCATTGGCAGGGTAAGTAAAAGTTATTTCAGAGATACTGTTTGATTTGAATGACTGAAAGTAAGATTCAAAGGCTTTTATTAGCTTTGGTTTGGTTGAGAGTGATTGTAAACTGCTGAGAGGTTTGGGAGTTCAGGAGTTAGGTGGGTGAAGAAATACTACTACTCAGGGTTTATGGTCATAGCACAACTTTGTAAATTGGCTTTGGTTATCCGATTGAGAGCTCTTTTTTTTTTTTTTTTTTTTAAGATTTTATTTATTTGAGAGCGAGAGAGTGGGCAAAAGAGAACACAGGCAGTGAGAGAAGCGGCTCCCCACCGAGCAGGGAACCTAATGCAGGGCTTGATCCTAGGACGCTGAGATCATGACCTGATCAGAACCAACAGAGCCAGCCATCCGGGTGCCCCTCCACTGAGAACTTTTATGGACCATATTTTATAGAAAGACTCCACCTACAATGTAACCTTGCAGAATGCTCCACAGAATGAATTACAGGCTCTTCTGCCCTTAAGATCTTCGGACCTAAGACCCAGACATGCGTTAACCAAGACCTAGGGGAAGTCTCACGGATGTTTTCCTTTTTTGGAAACTAGTACTATGTCTTGATTATTAGTTAGGCATTCAAGAAATGCCAATGGAAAAAAATATATATATTGCCCCTTGTGAATACAAATAATGCCCCTGTAATTAGTTTTCCAGTTTGGGTAATAAACTTGACTCTAACTATCCAGACTGTTTCCCCCAATTCCCCATATTGTTTAGCTGTTTTTAGTTGGGAAGAATGCTGAATAAATAAGGAAAGGGTAGAAGTAGAACTGCCAAGCAAAGTTGGCTCTTCTGTCTGAGAATTGAACTGCAGTCTAATTAGCTCTAACTAGCTGAGCTAACCAATCATAAAGTCTAAACTGAGCTCAAACTTTTGTATGTATCAGAATCATCTAAACAGCTTGTTTAAAGCACAGCCTTGGGCATCATCCTCCAAAATTTTAATTCAGTGGATCTATGGTAGGACCCAAGAATTTGCATTTTTAGTAAGGACTACTGTGATTCATCCTCAGATGGTTCTTGGGCCAGACTTTGAGGAACAATGGTAGATGATACCCAAATCATGCGAATTCACTGGAAACTAGTCAGGATGCGATGAAGAAACAAAGATTTACCTCCCTCCTAAGAGTTCGAAAACTGAGGGGGAAAGGGGACAGAGAGGAAATGTAGTTGGTTAGATGTCCGTAGTATTGACTGTGAAAGTCATACATCCTGGAAATACATGGCTTTCCTTTTTCATTAGATAACTACCTCCCACTGTCCACTTAGGACTGTGGACCACACATAGTTTGGAGGGTAGTACTCATCCCATAAGAGGACGTGGAAAAGTATCGGGAAAAGTGCTCAGAACAGTGCTCAGAATTAAAGCCTGCCCCTTAGTAAGTGCTAGATAACAGTTAGCTATTACTACTCTTGCTTTTAATTCAGTGCGTTTCTGGGAAGGAAAGGAGATGCAGGTGGAGCTGGGAAAACAAACTCACCCAGAATACAAGAAAAAAAAATGTAGAGCTTATGAGCTCTTAAATTGTGCCAAACCATTTTGTGACTAGATTTCAGTTATTTTAAGATAAGACATCTCTATCTTGTAAACTTGTCTGTATTTGAACTACATTTGCAGTATTTGTTTTTTATTTTGGTTTTGCTTTGCTTTTTGGGAAAGTCCTGTATGAAAAGATTCTAATGTTGATATAAAGAGAGTAATACCTGAGAGCATTAATTCTTGGGCTTGAGGGAGTCTCTGATACAAAATTTTACCTATACATACTTACATGATTTTGTGGACACTGGCTAAGAATTTTTTCTCTACTTGGGGTGCCTGGATGGCTCAGTCATTAGGCATCTATCTGCCTTTGGCTCAGGTCATGATCCCAGGGTCCTAGGATCGAGTCCCACATCCGGCTCCCTCCTTGGCGGGAAGCCTGCTTCCCTTCTCTTACTCCCCCTGCTTGTGTTCCCGTTCTTGCTGTGTGTGTGTCTCTCTCTGTGTCAAATAAATAAATAAAATCTTAAAAAAAAAAAAAAAGAAATTTTCCCCACAAAATCTGGGAGAGTACTGAGATACCAGAAAGGTTAACAATTCATCCTCTGAGAACCAGCTTACCTGTGACCTCTTCCTGACCCCACTCTCTATGACTCTAGGTGAGTGGTGGTCAACCAAGGGCAGCTTTGTTCCTTGCTCTGGGGGCACGTGGCAAAGTCTTGAGATATTTTTGATTTTACAAGTAGTGGGTGCTACTAGCATCCAGTGGGTAGAAATCAGGAATATTGCAAAATATGCTACAATGCATAGGCATCCACTCACAACGAAGAATTAGCCGATCTGAAATATCAATTGAATCAAGATGAAGAAACCTTGTCCTAGAAGTAAGATCTGTAGAAGTGCGGCTGGGGACTGGAGGCAGACCTGGTAAAGCTGGGTACTAAGTGAGAAGCAGCAGAGTTGGAGACAAGGGAGATCACCACTCCTTTCCTTTTGAGCTGGTCCTTCAACAATAGGATGGGCTTCCTATCAGCACAGTGCCAGATGCCAATGGCAGTAATCTTTGTTTATCTACAGAATACTCCTACCAACACTCTGTTTGGGTCTTCATGGCTTGGAACTGTTGGGGTATACTCTTGTCAAGTTGTCTTACCACTTACCCTGCTCACAGGTCAGGTATTGGGATCACTTCTGATTCAGAAGCAGGCAAATTTAAATTTCTTTTTTTTTTTTTATAGCATTGCTTTTATCAGGGGAGGCATTTCCTTACTTGGGTAATGGAGTCCCAATAATAATTAGCACTAATTGAGATCCAGGTAAGAGCTTTAGTAGAAAGGCTGACAACTCAATCACTCATGGTGGTGACCTGGGGAATAGTCTCATAGGTCCTTGTTTAGTCACATGATTGAAGAAGAGGAAGGCAGAATTGAATGAGATTATTGTTAGTTTTCAGGAAGCATTGCATTTATTGTAAGCAATTGGAAAACTGTTTATTTGGACTAAATGCCATGAGCCAAACACGACACAACACACACACACACACACACACACACACACACACTTAAGGAGAATCTGAGCTTTACCTAATTATGCACAGAGATCAGAGGGTCAGCAGGATTTTTCTTTGAATAATAAATAGGTTCTGTCTAGTAGCCTGGGGACAAGATCACATGTGTCCCAGTCATGTCCCTAGAGTGTCTTTGTGTGACTCTTACTTAACTTTCCTTCAGTTTCTCTATTATTAAAATGACCTAAACCTTTATTGTTTTCTGTTCTGTGAAAACTCTCCGTACCTCTGGAGGTATTTGGAGGGGAGGCTAACATCAGAGAGAGAGCTGTGAAGTTTACAGAGACATGAAATCATTAGCATTCTAGAGTCCTATCTTGGTTTTCTGGGGGATATAGAGTAAGTGTGGGAGATAAAATCATTCAGACGATGAGGACATCCTTTTAGTTGGATCACAGATGAGAAAAAATTCAGTGGAAAAAAAAAAAAAACCTGAAAGAGCCAGGGTAACTGCCATGGAAAATAAGATGTAAGACTTTGGCTTTGTCATATAAACGAGGGGAATAGATGCCAATCAAAGTTCACAGAATTTTGACAGTTTCTTTCTAACATTTCTCATGAGAGTAGAGAATAAGAAGTCCTCTGGATTGTATTAGGGCAAGTTTTCCATAATCCGGGACAAATGTGGTAGATACCAAAGCTGTAAGAGTGTCAGTAATCTTTGCCCTGTTGTTCTTGTGATTTTTCCATGAGGAGAGAAAAGAAAGAATTGTCTGGATTCTAGTTCCAGCTTTGCCACTCACTAGCTGGAAAAAAAAAAAAAAAGTTATTCATATGCCAAGAAAAATCCCAGATGACTTTCTATGACAGAAGTTTCTGTGAGAGGTATCCTGCGTGGCTGAGTCAGTTAAGCCTCTGCCTTCAGCTCAGGTCATGATCCCAGGGTCCTGGGATCGAGACCCATCTCGGGCTCCTTGCTCAGCAGGGAGCCTGCTTCTTCTTCTGCCCGCCATTCCCCCTGCTGTGTTCTCTCTCGGACAAATAAATAAATAAAATCTTTAAAAAGAGAGAGAGAGAGAAGTTTCTAAGATAAATAGAATAACACTTCTGTAATCCATACCCCTGGGACCCCCCAATTTTGAACAAAATTTCCAGCTTGGCCTTTCTCCTGGCTGAAGTCATCATCAGAATTATTTACTGCTAGTGAGTCCAAAGCTTGAGTCTAAGCTGCTGTCACTCCAGGCAGTAGGACACACCCATTCCTTTTGGCAAAACAAAGCCAGTGAGGTCACTGACTCACTAGAAGCCTATTTGCCTAGAGGCCTGTCAACATTGTGTATTCTCTGTCCATGGTAGAAATTCTTGGAGAAGAGTTGTAGGCACCCAAGCTTGCTCTCCTCAAAGGTTTTGAATACAGAGTGGTGTCCATTATTTTCATCTTCCTGTTCCCACTAACAATTCCATGAGACATAAGGGTGCCTGGCTGCTCTGCTTTGGTATTTGTGTGACAGGGTGGAACACAAAATGGGCAAACGCTTTGGTGGGGAACAGAACTGGGGCTTCTGAGAATGAGGTCATCAGGATACAGAATCTGAAAGGCTGTAGCAGAGTTACATAGTCAGGAGCTGTCAAGGTACCCAGGG